ATGGCAGGGGGGTGGGACTAGGTGATCGCTAAGGTCCGTTCTGATAACAAGAAATAGGCCCCAAAGACACAAATCAAGCGTAACAAGATAATAGTCCATAACAGGACACTGCTCTATCTTGCCAGACATATAGAGCACTGCAAGAGAAGACATAAACCAAGAATTAGAATGCTAATTTTAGGATTGCTTTAGCTAATGAACATAGAGGAGTGTTGAGCTCACCAAGATAGTAAAAAACAAGTATAATGTGCATGTGCTAAGGGATGAGGTGAAAAGTTCAAACTGATGAAGACTACCAGCCTTACTCTTGAAGACCCCCAGATGACCACCAGAGATTGTTGGAAAATTGCCAAATGGGGGCAGGGGGCAAGGGAGGAGAATATAATGATTTCTGAGAACTAATTGTAATAATGACCACCCATTCCTGGAAATAATAAATATGTATGAACATTATATATATAAAGGTATATAAACTATGAAGCTTTTGCCCCTGGTGGCACAAGTTTGGTGGAGCGATCCCCCTTGTGTCCAGCGCTGAATAAACAAATACCTGCTACTCAGAGATACAAGTCTGTGAGTAGTTCTTTTCCAGGTTTTCTCGGCGTCAATTCCAACCCCTGAAATTCTATGATTCTGTGATTCTATCTGCCTGCACCATTGGCATAGGTGTGATAATCACCCTGCACACGCATCCAAGGGATCTCCAGTCCACGAGGGTTTTCTAAGGCTTGCTGCTGTTTGCATGATGCTGATAGTGCCTGTAGTGGGAGGAGTAATTCTGATAGAAGGTCCTCTTGGGAAAATAAATATTTCTAAAGAGGGAAGCACCTGAAGTCTTGCCGGGGTAGTGCGTGAAGCCCTGCAAGGAGGCCACAGGATGGCACCATAGTCTTAAGAACTGAAGGGACCGAAGCACCTCACTTACAAGAAAAGAGAGAATTGTGCCTGTTCAGCCTCAAGAAGAGACAGCTGAGAGGGGACCTAGTCAATGCCTAATAAACATCTAGTCAGTGCCTATAAGCATCTAAACGGGGGTGCCAAGACATTGGAGCCAGGCTCTTTCAATGATGCAAACCAGTAGAACAAGAGGCAGAAACTGATGTACAGGAAGTTCCACCCGAATACAAGGAAGAATTTCTTCACTGTGCAAGTCACTGAGCACTGGAACAAACTGCCCAGAAAGGGAAAGATTCTCCCTCACTGGAGATATTCTGGAACTGTCTGGACACAATCCTCTGCCACGTGCTCTAGATGGCCCTGCTCAAGCAGGGAGGTTGGACCAGATGACCCACTGTGGTCCCTTCTAACCTGACCCATTCTGTGATTCTGTGTGCACAAGTCTGCTGTAATTGTTAGGTGTTAGCTCTTCAGTCACTAAACATGTTAAAATTCTTTTATATGCTTACTTATTTTAAAAACAACTAATATTAACCATCTAGGACCACTGTGAATTGTGTTAGATACTGCTTTTCCCATCTGCAAAAATAAACAAAACCAAATGTAATGAGAACAAAAATAGCATATTTATTATTAGATTGTTAGTGACAAGCATTTAAGAGAACTGGAGTTTTCTTGATAGCCCTGATGATGCTGGTTCTCAGTCCACTTAAACCCTGAATTTGTTTTGCCTGCTCTTTCACTGTTATGAAGAGGAATTTATCTTCATTTTTCATTCTTCTGAACTATTCTAAAAAAAAAAAAAAAAAAGGGAGGGGGAAGGGGAGGGCAGGGGAAAGGAACAAGAAGTCTAACATACACAAAAGTTAACCAACTTTATTGGATTGTATAATACAAAATATTACAGTTATTTGCAGAGTCGGTTAACAACTTTATTGGATTGTATAGCACAAAATATTACAGTTATTTGCAGAGTCCTTAATTGAATGTACCAGCAGCGCTACCGGATACTGTCTTTTCAATTATGTCCTTGAATGTGGAGCACAGTTCACTGCAGTAACTGAAATCTGGCTCGTTTTCATGTCCTGAAATGTGATCCCTTCTCAGTGAACTGACAGAATCATAGAATTTTAGAAGTTGGAATGGACCTTATAGATCATCTAGTCCCAACCCACTGCCATGGGCATGGAAACCTCCCACTAGACCAGGTTGCTCAAGGCTCCATCCAACCTGGCTTTGAACACTGCCAGGGTTGGGGTATCTACTACCTCCCTGGGCAACCTGTGCCAGTACCTCTTGATAAGCTGCTGATTCTCTGGGCCACCAACCTGTAAGTTCCACCTCTTTCCTCCAGACGCTGTTTGTCACTTGTAAAGATCCATGCTGTAGAAGAGAACGCTGCAAAGGATCAGGGGTGCTTTTTGACATGCCTCTCAGAAAACTTGTCAGTGTGCTCATGCATGTTTGGTTCTTATATTTTTGTCCTGCAGAGATGATGAATATGCTGTCTGGCATCAAAGTCCCCCAGAGAAAGTAACATCTTAAAGGTGTCTTAAAGGCCAAATGAAAGTTCTTGTCAAGAGCAGAATAAAATATAAAATTGTTTTCATAAAGGTATTCTGTAAGTAAAAACAAACCAGCCTATCCAGAACCACCTGCATATAGCTTCCTACCTCTTTCAAAAATAAATGCGTATATTGGCCATTATATGCTGAAATGACCCAATTTCTGCTTTTGCTGATATATTTACCCATTTTAAAAGCATATACAAAGTCCAGAAAGTAGCTGATGTACAGGGCCTTAAAAAAGAGTATGCAGCTGAGAATCTTGTAAATTAGACCGTGTAGAATGTTTTTGTTACACTTCCCTTGTGGATGTAGCTCAAAAGTGGTGCTTAATATGACAAAACTGAATAAGTCAAAACAAGTGGTTTGATATGCAAAGATTTCCCTATTTCACTTCCTGCTTTCACAGGCACTTGGCATTGTAAAATCTCTTTGTGACTGTTTGAAACGTTTGGTTCTTTGTAAATATTATTTAAAAGCCTATCTAGAGAAGTTGGAAAACAGAAATTGCCCTGCTGGATAAAAACAGTGATCAAAATATTCACTTGTACTTTCTGTCTCCAAAGTTTGCTGATACCATATGTCTTAGGGGAAATATAAGAAATCATACCTGTTTTTAAAACAAAAAAGAGGTGCTCTATGTCCTTGACTCTGGAGAACAGGGAATATTTTTGCTTATTCAGATGTTTTGACAACTTAAATATGTTTGTAACATATGCTTATCTCTAAAAACATCTGTGTCAACCCTCTTCAGAAATAATTTTCACACTTCTGATGCTTTTGTGGTTTTGCAGCCATTACAGCTGCATTAATTTTTTTATTTTAACATTTTTCTCTTATATAGGCTAGAAAAATGGCAAGCAAATCAATGTGCTAGAAAGGTAAACCCCTGATGACTTGATCACACTTGATCTACCCTGGTTGAAGCTCCATGTGCAATACTTGATTTAAAAAATACTCCTACCACACTGATTTTCTGATCAATGATAGGTCATTATATTAGCTTTTTAGTATGAATAGCATATAATACAGCAGTTGATTAATGAGAGTCTTCTCAAATATCAAACTCTAAAGTCACTCACTCAGGTATCAACCCCTAGTAGTTAAAACTGTGACGAGAAAGAGCTAAGAGATTAGTACTCAGCCATATACAAAGGAAAATTTACCTTGAAATATCAGAGTCTATTCTAAGTATGTAAAATTTTCCATATTGCTCATAAAGATTCTATATCACAGACCTCAGTAATTTAGCATTAGTTACAGAGATACACAACCAGCCTAGGAAAAGAGTTTAAATCAGAGAGGTATGTTGTGTAATGTACAGTCAAGAGATGTTTCCAAAGAACCAGTGTAAATTTCTGACCTCTAATTCACATTCAAAAATCAGTTTATGAGCCTGCTATCTCAGGCCCTCAACCTTTGCATGGTTTTGGGCCCTACAATATGAAACTATACATTCACAAAAGGAACACTTTTTTTTCCTCTACAGAATCTCACATTAGCATATCTAGGTAGCTAAGTTGATACATCCTTTGCATTTATTTACAAATACCCAAATCCATGAGCAAATGCAAGCTTTGGTAAATATGTATTCTGGGATTATTTTTTTTGCAGCTGCTATAAATCCAAAATCCAGGACAGATTCTGAATGCTTTCTCCAGAGACTTGAATTCAGTAAAGTCAATTCCACTTTTTCACTAGACACAACTTAGAATGCAGCAGAAACTTCTTGTTCTCCAGTAGATTGTGTGTAGGTGGAGCTAGCTCGTTCAGGTGTTTCAACATAGAGAAAGGGACAGTGTTTACAGAAATGGAATGCAATCTGCTTTCGGAAAAAGCTGTGAAGATACTTCCTAAATTTTTCTCCAGCAAAGGCATAAATTATAGGGTTGATACAACAGTGGATCATTGAGATCGTTTCTGTCACCTGGATTGCTATGTGCAGTTGACCATTGCCTTCACAAGTAGAGATGGAAAATGCACCTTGAAAATCACGCAAGAGAATGCAAATGTTGTAAGGTGCCCAGAAAAAAAAGTAGATAATCATGATAATAAAAATAAGCCTGACTGCTTTATGTTTCTTCTCATTCCTACATTGCAGTAATGTCTTTATAATTTGTGTGTAGCTGCAGATCATAATCAACATTGGAATAAAAAGTCCCAGGATGTTCATTTTTAAGGTCAGGAATTGCTTCCATACGATTCTCTGCTCTGGTGGATAATGAGCACTGCAAGTATAGCCTGAATTTTCCTTCTGAGTTTTGTGAAATACTACCCCAGGAACAGAAGCGAAAACAGCAACAGCCCAAGTGACAGCACTGGTGAGGATGCCATAGGTAACTGTCCTGGCTTTCAGAGCAAACACTGCGTGCACTATGGCCAAGTACCTGTCTAGGGTCAACAGGATTATGAAAAAGATGCCACTGTAGAAGCCAAGGAGGTAAACACCTGAGAGAATTCGACACAGTGCCTCCCCAAAAATCCAGTCGTGAGCGGCGTAATAAGCCCAAAAAGGGAGAGAAAACACAAAGAGCAAATCAGAAATGGCCAAGTTGAGCAGGTAGATATCAGTCATACTCTTCAACCTCTTGTATTTTACCAGGATAAGGACAACAAGCATGTTGACTGTCAGGCCAAATATCACCACCAAAGGATAAAGTGGTGGCAAAAGTTTTGCTGCAAAGTGCTTTTCCTCAGTTCCAGGGCAAGGTGTTGAATCACTATAGTCAAATTCTGTTGTTGCTGTCCAGTCGATG